GGAAGCTTTCTCCTCCAGACCACAGCACTCGTCCTGAGGGCTTAGGAGGAGCTTTGCTAGAGATCGTGGCGATTGCTTCAGCAGAAACCATGAGATCACGCTGTATTCGTTTCTCGCATCCCGATGCCAGTCTCTGGGACCATGTCGGAGAAGCATCCTCTCCGTAAGCTCCCGCAGCATTCGGAGTGTGGTGTGGAAATCAATCTCTGTCTGCTCATCAAGGTAGCCTCTGAATTTGAGTCGTCTCCTGCCGATATCTACTTCTCTATAACCCCACTTTAAGACTGTATAAGCGTGGCTGGCATACTCTTGAAAGGATGTCAGACGACGCTTGTTTCGAGGGATCTCGTGGTACTCTTCCAGCATCCTAGTAAGCACCAATAGGCGGCCGGTAACGTCCGGAACCAGAGGGTTTATCCTTTGCTTTGTTTTGTATGTGTCGCGGGCAATATCAGCCATGTGGAAAAGCACGTACAGCCCTCGCTCTAGTCGCTGAACGAGCTTTTCCTCTGCCTGATAGTTCATTTTTGAGCTTTCCTCGTCTGAGAAGGGACCCCATACTGAGGGGACAATCTGGCACGCTAGCTTGTGTGCAATGACCTGACGCTCAAGAAATCCTGACAGATTGTGTACCGTCAGTGTCCTCTGTTCACCCGTCCGCGGATTCAAGGTGAGCACAGGGTCAAATGTGCTGACGCCATGGATGCGCATTAACCATCGACAAATGTGTGGTTCAAGCAATTTGATAGCTTCATAGGTTGCCTTGTTTACCAAACAGAGTGTCAATACTGCCCCAATATCTCCATTGATAATGATTTGAAAAAGCACATCGGGAATGGAGCCTAAGGGTCTCTGTTTCTGCTTCGTCTTCGAAATTATCAACTAGGTGGATATCAAGTGGATCAGTAAGCGCTCGGGAATCTATACGATAAACTACAGAATAACAAAATCTAAGCCGTCATGTTTACTCACCATAATTCTGGAATGCTCCGTGCTCTAGTTGAGTGAGTTCGCTTGACAATTTCAGATATCAACCATTAGCTTGTGCCGAGGAATCTAATGCTTATATTTTCTTAACAGCAAGGGGAATATAAATTGCCGCATAGGGATGGTTAAGCTCTCGACGGTGTGACGCGTTGACAGATAATCATCTGCGTGCCTGTTGTAATTTCGCAGATCGCGAGGCTGAGCCTGCAGGATGCAGGAGATAATAAATGAGTAGAGAGGAGTATATCATACGTGGTGGCACCCCTTGCCTGGGCTGGGATATCTCCTTTCTTCAGCGAGTGCAATACGGTCACGTTTATGAGATGGCAGAGCGAAATAGCCTATCGCGGGTGTTCCTAAGTGCCAACGCAGTTTTGTTCACTTCCTATATATGCTCAAGTCCGCAACCGGTCGGGCAGCTCCATTCTTAGTCCCGAAAGATTTGATGTTAGTGGTTGTTTAATATAGGATGGCAGCGCACCGATGTTGACCTAAAAGTAAAGATCAGCAGGTCTCATGTGCCACTATCGCCAATAGTCTGGCTTCCAGTGCTGTCACTGTGGGCTTCGTCATTGTGCACCAAAATCCAACCAAGCAAGTGATCGGGATTTCAGGGGAGTTCAGGAGCCCACCGTGGTGTCAGGAGGATTCCCGAGAGTGTCGAGCTGGGTGAGAACTCAGAAACGACCTCCACACCTGCGCTCCATACCCCATACTCTGGATTCCGCCGATCCGTGCTGGTGGAGCTCGCAACGGGCCTAAACCGAATTCGTTCCCCTTTTACCCCTCGACCAAAAGAAAAAAGTAAAAAAACAAAATCTGGAATTATTCTGTGATCTTCGCGGCCCTCAACATTCCTTGTGACTTCCTCGACTTTCTTTTTATAGACCGTTCCTCATTCGTTACACTCTCTTTAGTGCTTTCGGGTTGCGCTATTTTTCACTTGTTCCCTGTTTTCCTTTTCGGGCTCTTTGACGGTCGAACGAACGCATGCCACGACCTAAAACGCTTCCACTCACTGAAGAGTGGACTGATCCCGATGCCTACGTCGACGCCCTCCTGTCCTTCGCTACCTCATCCGACATCTTCCGCCACCTTTGCGGCGGCGTGCATATCTTAGACTTTCTGACGCGCGAACCGGATCTCTATACGTCGCTTCTTCCGGAGCATTGGCGGGCGTTCTTTGAACATCATGATATCCAGGACCTTCTCGACTTGTTTCTGAGGGAAGATCTCCAGCCGCTTTTAGATCAGAGCAGGGACCTCGCGGCAGATGGAGGCAATCCGAGTGCACGACAGGAATGGAGGGGAGCTCCCTTACCTCCAACAGATCTCTTAGAGTACCTCCAGCAGATCCGACGTCTTACTTTGGGTAGAGATTTCCGGCCCCCACAACCTGGGAAACCAACGATACCGAAACACATTGCCGTGGGGATGAATGTCAAGAAGTACCATGAGGTAGCACACTTTTCGAGATATGTCGATTCCCTGTGCGCAACAGTGGATGAGCAGCGGGGTGACAACATAACCCACGTCGTGGATTTCGGGTCGGGTCAAAGCTATCTTGGACGGACGCTTGCTAGCCCTCCATATAATCGGCACATTGTCGCTATTGAAAGAAAACACCAATTCATCAATGGAGCGAAGGATTTTGATATATTTGCGAAACTAAAGGAAAAGAAAAAGATTAGACTATATAATAAGAAGGCCGCCTGTAAAGATTGCGAGGAACCAGAGAGAGCCGTGCCGATAAACGAGAGTGCGTCCGCCCGCGAGTCAGAAGGACTGGAGAATGTAACGGCTGAGGAAAGTGCAAAGCAAGACGTGGACGAGGAGGACGTTGCCATGATAAATGTCTTCCGTGACATCAGTATCGCGCCCGATGAGATCGGCTCGGCTCCGCATAAGAACGATCCCATTAAGAAAGCGATGGCCTTGGCGGCTAAGAAACAGCAGTCCAATCAGCCGAGAGGTACGATGGATTATATTGAACATGATATTAAGGATGGGTACCTAGAGCCCATCATAAAGGACGTGATTGAGCCGCCGCCTGTTGCGCCCACCGAAAGCTCAATGAGCGCCGAGCAGGAAAGCAATGGAAAACCGAATGATGCCCGTGTTATGGTTGTTTCCTTACATTCCTGCGGAAATCTCCTTCATCATGGTGTTCAATCCTTGGTTCTGAACCCGTCCGTGAAAGCCATTGCCATGATTGGTTGCTGCTATAACCTGGTGACTGAAAGACTCGGTCCTGCTACGTACAAACTTCCTATTCTTCGAACCACACACCCTCGCCTGACCAAGGATGCCATCGCGTATGATCCGCACGGCTTTCCGATGTCGAAACGTCTGGAAGACTACGAGCATGACAGCGGAAGAGGCGTGAAGCTGAACATTACCGCAAGGTCGATGTCCCTTCAGGCACCCTACAACTGGGGCAGGGAAGACAGCGAGAACTTCTTCACCCGGCACTTCTATCGGTCACTCCTCCAGAAAGTCCTGGTGGACCGTGGGGTTGTGGCAAAGCCTTCCATCCCGAAAGAATTGTACGGCGCCGAGTCTTTGGACTCGAGTGAAGCGGGTAACCCTCTCATTGTCGGCTCCTTGCGAAAGTCCGCTTTCGCTTCCTTTCCTGCATATGCTCGCGCTGCCGTGGTGAAGCTCAGCCGGGATCCTCATAACGGCGAGAAAGTGAAAGCAGGCATGTCGGACATTACCGAGGAGGAGCTAAATGACTACGCGGAAAAGTACTGGCACACGAAGAAGTACCTCAGCATCGTTTGGAGCTTAATGGCGTATAGTTGCTCTTTGGTTGAGGCCATTATCGTGGTTGACCGATGGCAATTCCTGCGTGAACATGACAGTGTCAAGGACTGTTGGGTTGAGCCCGTCTTCGATTATAGTGAAAGCCCAAGGAACCTGGCCGTCATCGGTATTAAGAAGTGAGATTGGTGGATCTTAATCAATAAAGTTCCTGGTTACACATGTGTGTCTCGTGCGGTTCAAACCCTATCAGGCTATGCTTACTATTTCTCAAAATCACTGGAACGATGGGCTTTATCATTTGTTTCTCTTCAGCTCACTACCATTTGCAATGACTTTCATGGCACTGATATCTCATCATGGCTACCCTACTTCCCCCTCTCGATACCGTCCCTTTCCTCTTTTATATCCTCTCCCCCATCTTTACATCTTCCTGCACATAAGACTTCCGCATCAAAACTAATCGGGTCATTAGACTACTGGCTTGAATTGAATACAGATACACCAAAAAGATATAGCGAGAGAAGAAGAAGCTCAGAATGCTGCCAGAAAGCGAATCAGATGATGATTAGATACTGGAACTCGACTACTTGAACCTAGCAGGGTTAGGCATAGCTTGCCCATTAACCTAACCTAGCATAGCCATTCGCCAGTCTACCTAGTAGAATCAAGGAAAAAGAGAAGGGTAACACACAGAAAAGTGGAGGAACAAGAAATCCGCGATTAAAAAAGAGCAAGCTCGAAGTATCAATTCAGAGGATCTTGACAAAGATCTAGTCGTAGATAGCAATATCTATAGTGACCTTGAAGGTGATAGGTCAGGAGCGGGTATATACTCAGATTTTGAGATAGAAAATAAGCAGAACATATCTTTCGAGTCCTCTGTACCAGAATACCCAAGATTACACTATTTATTGTAATTCCAGGCAGTCGTAGGCTTTATATTAGACCAATTATTGTCTTCTAGAGAGTTTCGGGCTTCGGAGGTACTCCATACTAGTAGTTAATACGAGCACTCGGTACCCGGTATTATAACCTCCGGATACAGTCGGCCAGACAGACCAACTGTGCAGTACTGACACTGCACGTTTTGTCGTTGCCTTCTGGTTCTGCTCGGGTTCCGCGGAATCCGAAACGGTATTTGACTTCCCCATCAGACCCTCCGTCATGACCTTTTCCCCCAAACAGTCCCAGTATTAGTCGTATACAATATCCTTCTTCGGTTATATCAGACTAATTGACGCCCAGAAATGGAGCCCGAGGGCCCCGAGAGTGATAGCAGGGAGTCTCTCCCCATTCGGCGCGCAGTAAGTGTTTGTCCACTTGCATAGTACTTATTCCCTAGCATAATCAGACTAATAGTCCAGTGTGACCAATGTCGTCTTAGAAAGGTATACTGCGTTGGCAAACGGTAGAAATCTATAGGCTTAGAGCCAAACTAATTAATCATGCCGGTTAGATACGATGTGACAAACGGTCGCCCTGCTCTAATTGCCGTAGTTCGCAGATTGTCTGTCGCACCACAGGCGCTGGTCAAAAGCCTCGCGAGCCACGGAGACGAGTCCTAATTTCCGATCAATAGTAGGCGTGTTGAACGCAGTCGAAAGTGGAACCGTTCTGACTTCCCCAGTGAAAAGAAAATTGATTTGATCGAAGATCGCCTGTCCAGCATCGAACAAGTCCTCCGTGACGTGAAGGCCACTGTTACCTCCAGTACTCCTGCCGAGACCTGCTTCCATGCAACGCCAGATTCAAGACAGATGACTTCGTCTGCTTCTGGACTTGCGTCTGACGTCAACGCCGCACTAGACGAACACGAGTCTGGCCCTGCGTTCGAGGGTAATTCATCTCTTGCAGCCCATTCCGCCTATGCGAGTCAGTTTCTCGAGACAGCAGTCTCACGCAGCGCGTTGCAACTATCCAGCCCAACGATCAACACCGCCCTTTCAACGCTCAAGCAGCTTGTCAACATGCAGGATCATCAGGCCCATCCTTCTTCACGCGACGTTCGCTTCCCCAACCAGAAAGCTATACCGAGATCAGGACTGCGGAATCTGAACCTGCCTCCTGTACAGGTTGTCTTGCCGCTGTTGCGCCATGTAAAAGGTACCATGGGCTATATCATTTCCATAGCCAGCAGTGAATTCTAACTAGCTATCAATAGAGGAACATGCAACCACCTTGCTAGGGTTCTTCCCTTTTATCACACCAGACAGTCTTTTTGAGAAGTGCCGCCAGGTGTACTTTGCCACCGAGGAATACTCCGACGCTACGTTTATCGTGGTGAATGCATGCTTGGTGTATCTCTTTGGTGAAATTAGCTTTTCCGAAAGTGATACCACAAAGCGAGAAATGTATGATAAATACCACAACCTTTGTCGGGTTAACCTGGAGACAGGTCTAGCGAACCTGAATCTTCTGACGCCCGCCACAATGGATTCTATAGAAGCGCTTAGCATGGGTGTAAGTTCGAGCTCTACAGACGCTCTGCTGGAGATTCTGATCATCTAGGCTCTCCACGCTATTGAGACTTCGAAACCCTCCTTAGGTTTGGCGTTGGCATCAACTGCATTCCGGCTATGCCAGACGCTCGGTTATCATCGAGCTTCCTCAATGGAGAATGACAGTTTCACCGTGAGGCAAAATAAGCGCCGTCTATTTTGGTCAGTTTATGTCACAGAGAAAGCCCTTTCGCTGCGGCTCGGCCGCGCCTCATCCATACAGGATTATGATATTTCATTACCTGCAGAAGATGGACTTCTTGGAGATTTCGAGCCGTGGAGAACTATCTATCCGCTGTGGATTAATCTGGCCAGAATACAGGGTAAAGTGTATGAGATGCTCTACAGCCCTGCAGCCCTGCGTAAACCTGCAAACGAAAGGGCATCACATGCCCGTCAGTTGGCAGCAGAGATGCAAATGAGCGTTGAAGAGCCATTTAAGGTATGCTTTCCCAAGTGAGCTATGCTGTTATGTTATATTCGCACAAGGCTGAGACTTAGGCAGAAGGCTAGCCCCAAATTCTCGAATATCTCTCCGCTTGACGAAATTTATCTCATGTCGGATGAGGTCTGCCGCCTCTCTGTGTTGACCCTAATATACAGAGCTATCCCTGCGGCTGAAGATAGTCGCAGCACATTCATAGACGAATGCATCGAGACAGCACGAGTGACGCTGGAACTACACCAAAGTTGCATGACGATGATGGAGGAAGGTAACCGAAGTAATGCAGTCAAGTGTTCCTACCTACACTGGTACGGTTTGAACAAATCATTTTATTTTGGGAGTTGTTACCGATAGCTAATTGTACATTCAGGACGGTAATGTACTCGCCATTCGTGCCGTTTATAGTGCTGTTTTGCCATGTTATCGAATCAATGTCCTATTCAGACCTGGTACGACTGGAAGACTTTGTCAATTCGCTCCAGCCCAACTGTTCATCATCGGAGGCTATTGCGAAAATGCATCGGCTCTGCCAGGTCCTCAGCAACGTTGCGAGACTATATGTCGAGGCAAAGGCGCAGGCTCAAACGCAAGAGAACGAAGATCTGGCGTCTGTGGGCCAAGAATTCGATGTTTATCTTAGTGCTCTTGGCTTGGCGCCTACACAGCCCGAAGGTGGTGATGTTCGATGGAATGGCCCTATTCCTGCGCCGGGACCGATCCCCCAAGGCTTGGGCGAAGGAGCTGAAGGCCAAGCATGCCCGAACACTATGCCCCCGACTACATTGGGCAGCTGGTTCTCGGGAAATCAACATATGTTAGGACTTTTAGAGGAGGATCTATCACTTTTTGATCCTTCTGCATGGTCTTGAAATTGTATATGTGCCGTCTTTTGGCGCCGATGTAACTCTGACATTGATACAGCATGTAGTACCCGGACGTCCGTGCTTGTTACACGTTTCAACATGTATATCCTAGGGTTGAGTGCCCAGGAATAACTGTTCACTGAGATAAGAACAGAGGATGGAGGACCTAACTAGATACACTTCCCTCCATCGACAATCATCTCCGCTCCGTTTATGAAACTGCCCTCATCGCTAGCCAAGTATAGACACATGTTTGCAACATCATCAGGATCTGTCAATCGACCCAGCGGCACATTTCCGATGAACTTCTCCCGGTTTTCAGGCGTATCAGGCATGCCGGTAAACATGGAAAACAGGCCTGTTCCTGATAGAAGGGGGCTAACGGTATTGACGCGGATATTGTGAGGACCATACTCAGCTGCGAGCCCTTTCGTAGCCTGTTCGAGTTAGCCAACAGCCAGGCTTACGCAAAGCCGACGGGGCCACAGAACAGGAGAACTTACATTTGAAACCGCCCCCTTAGAGGCATTATACCAGACCAACCCTGGCCGTGGCCGCGATGCACCAGTAGACGAAATATTGATCATCGAACCGCCCTGACCCTGTTGCATTAAACGAGTCACCAAGGCCTGCGAGCCCAGGAAAATTCCTTTCACATTCACGTTGAAGACGCGCTCCCATTCTTCTTCGGTGACTTCGTCCGTTGGCTACTGCGAATCAGCGAACGAGCCTCGGCGATCATTTTAGTCTCGATGCATATACCTTGTTCCGATACGTTATCCCGGCATTGTTCACCAGGATATCCAGTCTTCCGAATTTCGAAAACGCCAAATCCATGACGGTCGTCCAATCCTCCGCCTTGGTGACGTCCATCTGTTGAAAGACCAGATTCTCCGGATTCTGAGCGGCGACCTTCTGTCCTCCCTCAGCATTGATATCGGTAACAATCACCTTGGCCCCCTCCTCGCCGAATCGACGGGCAATCGCCGCACCAAAGCCCGAGCCACCGCCTAGTTCATCATTAGCGATATGCATCCCCTGCCTTGAATTATAGATAGCATAGGAACATACCAGTAACGATAGCCACCTTGCCCTGCAACCGGGCACCGGGAGCCAATTGCCTCGTCATGTTGATTATTATAGTATATGTATATGAAATGCCTCGAGAGGATGAAAATATTTAATGATCTCAATTGCCAACCGTAAGGTACACGAGAAGATATACTAGACACAACGCAGAGTTATCCGAGGGCCAAGAGGGGCGAAATGCGGAGGTGCGGTACGAATGCCGAACGCTTGCATCGCACCCATTGGACGAGTCGCCGCGTCCTCTCCGTAGATTCACCCCGGACTTGTGGAGGGGTATGTATAATATAGTACGTATGTTAGAATAATTCGTTTCCCCGCATTGATATATGCTGCGGTATCCTCGGTATTCATCCGCAGATCAATCATTCTTCCAGGTGAAGCAAAGAAAAAAAAGAAGGACATCAATAGTTACACAGCGTGAAGCCAATATCCACTTGCCATGCCATCGTATCCTTTACATCTGAGAATCCCTGTCCTTCACAAGAAACATCGGACCATACAACATGCCACCACCCCACCAGAGCAGAGTCCAAGTCGTATCTCGGGCCTTGTCCGAGTCCGATCTGTGTTGCCCTGCAGTATGCATAGCTGTCAAGCACTGACACAGCAAAACGGCCCAATAAATCAAACTCGACGTCGTGGTCAAAAGGGAATGTCTCTAGTGAGATGGATACCTGCACTCAGTGCACTTGCCAGTTCGTACTAATACTCACTCTCATGTTGCGAATACATGATGTCCAGGAGTATTTGCTAGGGTTGAACTGAGCGAAGGTTCTTTTGCAGAGAAATAATGTTAACGCAGGGAAGTAGGAGTTAGGGTTAAGTACTCTCTGCTCTCTGCTCTCTGCTTCACAATGCGTATGGGTAGCTTGGCAACTTCACCCCTACTCACCAAGAAATTTTCAGAAGGATCTGTATAATTCCAGATAGTCACCCTCCTCCACCCAAGTGAGAAAGTAAGAAAGGAGAGGGAAGAAGAGGTAGAGAGGTAAAGCAAGCAACCCCTCCAGCACGTTATGACGACAGCGCGCTTAGCGCCACCGTAGACGGAAAATGGGTATGATAAACATTGAACATTATATTATGTCTAGGGCTAACACCATTTTACCAAAGCTTTTGTTCAATTGATAGGCACACCCCCTCATAGCGCAAGGGACTTGGAAATTACGAAGTAAATCTATACACGACAGCTGACAGTCTCGATATAGAAGAACCATGGACTACGGACTAGTCTAATTCGACGTCGAGCACGCCATCATGACGATCACCGAGATCGCAACCTAGATTTGTAGTAGTACCCGGCTCAACCCGTAGAGGCTGTTGCTTCTATTTACACTACTGACTACTGCTACCACATACTACACACACGTGCAAACACAAACATAGACAAATACAAGGGGGTGAAATTATAGAAATCACAAGTAAACTAAAGTAAACCAGAGTAAACCAGAGTAAACCAGAGTAAACCAGAGTAAACCAGAGTAAACCAGAGTAAACCAAGAATAGACCAAAAGTAACGACCATTACACATATCCTAAACTGGTTAATACCACGACAACCCTCTCAATGCTAATTTTTTTTCTTTAATTTTTAGGCTACTCCTCTTTCCGGCCCCCAAAGTGACTAAATTAGACTCAAGGCGTACACATTAAATGGCAGGGGTCGTAATTAAACTAACCAGGGGAGTTTGGCACGGCTGTTAGCATGCGAATTAAGGTTTCTTCAGTCATTTTACCTTGCAGAATTGAGTTTGGCGGTTTGTTTTGGCGGATTCTTCTTTTGTCTTTTCGGTTTTGGAGGGGAATTGCATTCGAGGGAACAGTTTTCGGAACTACATGGTGTGAGTGTCCGGATATATTCTCCGTCTACTTTGGGGGAGCGATTTTTGACAATTTACGACGTGTAGGCTGGAATTGTGGATTTGTACATACTATGTGTTGGCTATATCTCTATTTATTTTCATTCTTTTCATATTGGGGAAATATGAATACGATAAATTGTAGTGGTCGTGGTAGTGTATTAGCGGTCGCTTGTAAGGCTAATTTCTCCACCAAAACACCAGAACAACATACATGGGTATCCAATATCATTAAATTAACTAGATATAGTACATATACCAGATCATTACAGTAAATATCGTAAACGCCTGGAAAACCAAGGCGTCGAATCTCTAACAAAGTAGCAAACCCAGATACGCCCAATACGCTCACAACTTTTTCATCCTCATAATCCAGACAAGGAAAAAGCCTCACTCCCGCCTCGACACGGAAGTCTCAACATCGACCGTCTTGAAGATGGCGAGCGATCCACCAGGGTTCTCTCCTCCATAGTAATTCCGGTCCCCGTGAACGGTCGTTTCAACCTTCGGCTCGCTTTGCGCATTATGCATCAGAACGTCCTGGTCCGAGGTCGTCGTCTCCAGATAACTCATGCGGCTTCGGCTTTTGTCGGTTTTCAAGCTACGGCTTTGGTTTTTCATCTTGCTTAGCTCGTGGCCCGAGGTCCCACCGGTGGCTTTGTTGCTGGAGTATTCGTGGTAGACGCGGGAGAGGATCGCGGAGAGGGCAGGGAGACAGGCGCAGATGACGCCGATGGCGATTTCGGCATTTCTGTGTGGTTCAGATTAGTTAGCATATGGACACAATGATATGCGGGTTAGGAAGGGATGGATGCCTACCCGAACATGTTAATCCGCATGAATGCCATGGTGCCATCCTTCGACTGGCCCGTGTAAACGATCAATATAAGTCGGATGATGCTCGATGCAACGGCGAGACCTCCTGCGCCGAGAATACCCATGACTCGCATCTTCTTCTTCGTTGGGAGTTGCAGACCCAGGGTTAACGGTAGCGGAACAAGGAGGATGATAAGGTCGCTGACCACGCTGACGACCGCGTCGGCCATGATGATGGCACGCTGATTGAGACATGAGCCTGGCTGATCTGGTGTCCAGAATTTGGAGATCGGGTCGCAGATTCGGATCTTGACAATCACGGCGGGAATGTAGTAGGCCAACATGATACCAAGGAAGATGTAGATGAAGGTCACGGCTTTGCGGAATGGGCTGAACACTCGGGTCATGATCCACAGGAGCGAGACTTTGGTCAGGTATGCGGTTGGTCCGTACATCACCATGGTCACGTAGACGGTCTGAACAGGTCAGTAGGTGTAGAATTTCGGAGGAGGTTGTGAATTACTTTTTGGAAGACAATCTGGTCCTCCGGGGATACATCGTCAATGTGCAGACCCCCTCCATGTTCGCCCACTGCTGGCGGTTAGACGGTCATAAATCTGAATGACGGACTACTTACTGATGAGCGCAATGACAGAGTAGCTGATTCCAAGGAGCTGTTGTCACATAGGACTTTAGCGCGGATGATTAGCTATATAGAGTGAAGGACGTACCCAAGCACCTAGACAGGTCCCTGTGTTGAGTTAGCATGTAAATCACTGTCCTGACAAGGATGTTTCTTACAGTCTTCTTTGTTAAAGCCATTGAGAAGGAAGACCCGGGTGTATACACGCAGTAGGAAGAACAGAGTCATTGCAGCGATGCATAGTGACTGGGTTACTGTGTTCCATTTTTGCACTGTCCTGTCAATAGAATTGGCGTCGTCTCGTTCAAAGAGCTGTCCAAGAGCCATCTTGGGTGACGGGCACCATGGGTCGCTTTTGCAGTGAGTGCAACGGACTAGACAAGGTTTAAGCCTGAGATTAAGACAGGGTATTAAAGAAATAGGAGCTAAGGTTCTAGTACGAGAGGGGGCAGGAGAACGCTCCGTAAACGCTTGGACAGATCCAATCTCCTCCGGAGTTCATTGAACTTAGGATCTGTATTAAACCGTACTGCCTACGATTAGGGACCCAAGACTAGGATTCCCCATGAAGGAAAGGGCAGGAAGAGAGGAACTAGTGCTACTAATAGTGCCAAGAGACCATCACAGTTTTCAGACTGAAAAAGCAAAAGTGATGGCCGTTAAAATGACATGGCGATTGCCACACAGGGTGGGATGGATTGACTGATGCTTTGCATGATCTCGCTATCTGATTGGCACGAGAATATGCGGCCAAGGAATGCAGATCCAACCCAGAATCGAAGTTTCGTAACGAACCTTGGATAGATTTCACTACCGTCGGCCCGGGCTGGTGGACTTTAGCGTCCTGATGGGGAGACTGCCGGTCGTTGCTCTCATAGGTAAGCGTAATCACGTCTGACAGAAGGTCGAACCTGGCATCGAGAGGGCCAAGACTTCACGGTAGAGAACGGTTCGCTTGCCAGCTTTTCTCATAGCCAAATTAAGGAATCGGGGTTTGGTTCAAGCAGAGGCGGGACTGTGAGCAAATAAGGAAGATGAATCACAGCGCAGGTCGGAACTTTCTCGGCGCCCGTGTCCCAAGCGTCAGGAGTCGAATGTTACCTAAAACGCTCCATTTCCTCCCGGCTTTTAGGTTCTTTGGAACCGTAGCGGAATCCACCTCCCGCCCGAAGTGGAGACGCTAATCGGCTGTAACCCTTCACAACTAAGCCCTACCCAGTAATGATATGTCGATGTGGCCCTACAAAACGGATTCTCCCTGAGGGACGGGCGAAGGATTCTGGTCTTGTCCCGAGCGCCTTCGTCACAGTCCCGATTAACCGAAGTTCGTTGTCTCAGCAGATGGGTCAAGCTTGGGAATGACATGACATCCTGATATTAATTCTCGGGAAATCTCCGTATGCAGCACGACCACCTGATATCTTGCCCAGCCGCATTAGTCAAAGTAAACCGGAGCTTGAAGTGACTCGACTTGGCTAGTGTCAGGAAAATTGACGCCCCTGACGCCCTTCACTACAGGGGTAGTGTGGATGTGCATCCTGGAACCATGGGGACGCTGCACTCCCAATTGTCTAGAGTCAACGCTTCCAAAAGGTACTGTGGTAAAGTATGCGGTAGGTAGAAATTGGGCCAGTGGTAATGCACTATGAGAAAGATGTAGCAAGGTTATTGATTTCCTTGCTCCCGCGGACCTTTGAACGTTGATTCTTTCCCTCTATTTTGTTCTGTTTCATTCTTGGTGGCCGTGGCTATAATACGTGCTATTAATTCTCCGCACTAAGATGCGCTAGAAATGTACGATCCAGGATTGTTGCAGATGGTACTTTTGTGGCGCCTAGACCCGATCTCAGCAGAGGTGATGCATCTAGAAGAGAGCCATGATGTTCGGTGGCGATGACACGCCACCGGGCATGTTCAACGGGACCGATGCCACAAAGAAGCTCCATCGTTGAAGATCCTGGCAGATGCATGCCAATGCTTCGAGGTCAAAGAGCTCGCCTGGCACATGAATTAGAGTAGATCCATAAACGGTTTTGCCGAGCCGCTCAGATTTTCAACTCACCGATTGGCATTCCCCATCCTGCGAGTACATACTCATGCAGGAACACATCAGACTGGGGCGGGTAGACCTGTCACAATGTTATTAGTGTCAACGGTCTCCAAAAATATATACTGCAAGAACTGTCGTACCTCCCAGCTAATAGTGTCGCTGGCAATCGCTGCAAATCCCGAGTCCCAAAGCCACCGGAGCATATCTGTTGTGGCTTCGACTCCAGCATGTTCTGGGCTCGGGTTGTCAGAGTACTGCTTCTTTTGTTCATCCGTCATCACAGTGTCCCATTCCCTGGTTACTCCAACACGAACAAACAGGATATCACCCTTCTGGAAAGTGATGTTGCATTCCTTCGCAATTTCCAGGATGTCTGATAGTCGCACCTGATGAGTGGAAAAGGTGCTGTACGTGATTCCCTTCTTCTCAGCCCATGCGGCGTAGTCAATCAAGACCCCGCGACCTATGATCACGGAATGAGATTCATACTCTCGGAGAGCCACAGGAGAGAACACCAAGGATAAATGGGAAGATCCATACCTGCAATACCTTCCCGTGCCCAGTGTTGCATACCAATCCGATCGTTGCTACGGTCATTGATCTCCTCAGCTGTCACGCCGCCGTAGAACACACGCTCGGTCTGGCCAGGGACAGTTTGAGAGAAGTGTCGCAGTCCATCCCACTGACTACTTTGTTCTAGATGCTCGATCTATTAGATGTGACCGATACCACGCTCCAGGTACATTGAAAACCCACGAGGATTCATTGTGTAGATATCATCATAGGCCACTCCGCCCAGAAGTGGGACAATCTTGTGCTGACATGGCTGACGGTTTAGGTTAGGATAGTTCAATTTTGTTAAATCCCATCCCATCGTGACTCTTCGACCAGTTTTGATTTCGGTCGAAGCGGCCTTAGCCACCACCTCGGGGGTCAGGATGGCTAGCTTCCCAAGCCCTTCTTCATAACTACCAGGCTTTCCCACCCACACCTGTTTGGGGTTGGGAAGTTCGTCGAAAGGGATATCGAAGGGGGAAATGCTGCCCATGATTTTAACGGCGATCCAGTCTACTTGTAAAGGGGAGGTCGGATGCACGCGGCAAAGTATATCTCAAAAGCGTGTAAGAAAATAATAAGGATAGCGTGAAAGACGGTTTTACATGTAGCAGGTAAGCTGCTCTGCGGTAAGGTTGTCAAGATTTAAATTTTCTGCAAGCTTTCCTAAGCTTAATGCGTGCATCCGACACCCACCTGTCCCCCAAACCATTGAGTCTAAAGATTTGGAGGGGCGCAAACATCGAGGTGGGACGGCGTCGGCTGAGGGGGAGCAGGCTTCAGCTTCGAATAAAACACTCAGGACCACACAGGGACCCAGCTAACGGTACGGCACATGACAGTCAACGTATGGCGTACTTTGTAACGTGCAGGCATCAAGTGGAGAAAATGGGCCTTGCAACGGGTGTAAGTTCGTTAAAGGAAGCACAGACGCGTACTAGATTTCGTAGAAGGAAAGGATAATCCAGCGTCTGGGCAGGATTTGTCAATAGGGTGAGTAGGTTGAAACCCGGTCATACCAAGTTTTAAGGGCAACCAAACAGTATGGGATTTGCGAAAGCATGCATCTGAATGGACGAATAGCGAGGCAAGGGATCATGCCAATCACTGCGGCCATCAGCAACTAGCCTCCCTCCGTATCAACTGGCCGGAACTGCTCCGTAGTAGCACTCAGTAGGTCCAGTGTGTGTAGGACACATATTGACCAGGTGAATAATCATTTTCGAGTCTGTTGTGCAATTGGACTAATGGCATGAGTGCCGATGGTCCGGATAAATTGTTCAATAATTGTAGTCATAGAATGTGAGGGGATTGGGAAGGTGGTGGAGATTTCAGGCAGGAATTAATTATTTGGGAAAAGAAAGAAACAGTCACGGGCGACGGCTTCCCGAACGCAGTTTAGTGGCTTTCTGCCGCTGACGCCTCGAATCACAACAACCACTGGACTATCCAGAGACACGAGGCGACGAGGAAAATGTCCCACACACCATGTCAGGGTTTAGTGCCGGTCTCGTCATCCAGTTAACACCTAATCCAGAAATGGTACCTCTCGGAGTCGCGATATTGACAGAGGGTGGACCCGAAACATTCTCCACGGTCCACCCTCGCCAATGCACACCATGCCATGCGCCTTGCTAGTACTGATAGTGGCCTTGCAGCTTTCCGCCATGAGTACTAGGTTTTAGGGACTAATGCAATAAAGGAGTGGGTGCTTGCAAAAGCTGTTTTCCGATCGTTATACTGACTACTGAGTGGTTGTCGAAAATTTCAGTCTCGAAGCTGGTGTGTTGATCCCCTGCGAGGCTAGTTGACAGTAGCTCGCAGCTCTTTCTCGACGAGATTTCTTCTTCCCCCTGGAGCTTCTTGAGGGACGCCAAAATTGTACGAACGAAGTCAGTGAAGTGAACATCCTCTGATCATCTCAATTGACCTATCAATTCCCTGTCGCATTTGTTTTGTCCTGTCATATTTGTCCTGCTCCTTGAAACAATTCGCATTCGGCTCAGTGCAAATCCCTGCAAGGGAAAAACGACCTGTCCATCATGGGTACGTTCGGGTCCCAGACCAGCACTTACAACAAGCTGGTCGCGATTTTCGTCGCCGTTGGTTCAATGGTAAGCGTTGCCTCACTTAATCGCTGTCTGGTAGTGCTATGCATTCTAATTGGCCCCTGTATAGACCTATGGCTATTGCTCCTCAATCATCTCCAGTACGATCGGTCAACCAGGGTGGTATACCTACTTCAACCTTCCACAAGAGGGTGAACCGGGATATGCTACGATTACGACACCAGCCATTTCCACCGCCAATGGCGTCTTCAGTGCTGGAGGTGCTGTTGGCACGCTATTCATAATGTGGTCTTGCGATTACTTTGGTCGAAAGGTCAATATTCAGTTTGGTGCTTTCTTTTCGATGTTTGGAGGGGCGCTTCAGGGAGGCGCGAACTCTCTAAAGTATGTATTGCGTCAATGTTTTCTTCTTCTTCCAGAGACAATTCCCTAACGGCCTTTCAGAATGTTCCAAGCCGGTCGGTTTGTGTGCGGTCTTGGAATCGGTATTCTCGTGACAGTTTGTCCCATGTATCTGTCCGAGATGTCGAGTGCTTTCCGCCGTGGCTGGCTGGTCGGCCATCATGCGATCTTCCTGGTTTTCGGCTACATGCTTGCTGGCTGGGTCGGCTATGCATGCTACTTCGCTGAAGGAAAATTGGGCAGTTTCGGATGGAGGTTTCCCCTTTGTCTCCAGTGCCTGCCAGCTCTAGTGCTGCTTCTCGGTTCACCATGGCTTCCTCGTTCCCCCCGATGGCTGATTTCCAAAGGGAAGCATGAGGAAGCTAAGATCGTGCTGCAGAAGCTTCGACAGTCGCCAGATGATCCCGACAACCTGGTTGCTAAAGAGGAATATTTCCAGACGGCGGAGCAGATCCGCCTTGAGGCGGAGAGGTTATCCACCTATGGAAACGTGTGGAACGCAGTCCTACGGAAGAAGTCGTACAGAAAGCGAATGGCAATTGGCTTCCTTACTCAATGGGGCGCTGAATTCGGTGGACCATTGATCATTGTGAGTATCACGTTTCCAGAGGCGAAGTTTGTACTAAAATACTGATCTGAGTAGAACAACTACGCCGTCATTCTATACACCAACCTTGGAATGACCGGGGGCATGCCTTTGCTTCTTAGTGCTGTTTGGCTGACTACAGCTGGTAAGAGGACTTGGTAGTGCTCAAGGGCTATACGCTGACAGTATCGCCAGGTATTATATACAATCCTCTTGGCGCCTGGCTTCACGACAAGGTCAACTCACGTCGTGGCATGTATATCACTGGCTTTGTTGGCATCATCATCTCCACCTCATGCTTGGCTGCTATGACCGCTGAATATGCAGGCACCATGAACAGAGTTGGGAACGGGTTTGGTATTTTCTTCATTTACCTCTACTTGGCTTTCCAAGGGTCAGTGCCAGCCATTTATTCAATCGTCCTATCGAACAATTACTTACTTCTTGCAGAACCTTCTGCGACACTACCATGTATCTCTATGTCTCGGAGATTTTTCCGACTGAGATTCGCCCAATTGGCATGGGATTCTCCCTTTTCGGACAATTTGCTGGTGCGTTAGATATCCTACAAAGGCGTCTGCGAGTCTTATCATTAACTAACTGGTCATAGCCACCCTCATTTTACTGCAGACCGCCCCTATGGGTTTCAACAATGCCGGCTGGAAATACTATCTGGTTATCATCTGCTGGTCGGTTGTTTTCATTCCAGGTAGGTTATCATGCCCGTCAGACTTTCCGCTCTCGCTTACATTTTCGCAGTGATCTATTACTTCTTCCCCGAGACTGCGCGATTGACACTCGAGGAAATCGCAAAGAACTTTGGAGAAGAGGTCGCTGTTCACGTTACTGATGCGACCGACGAGGAGAAAGCCCAACTCGAGCAGGACCTGGCCGCAAGATCAGACAGCTCTGAGCCTACCGGATCGGTCAAGGGTGCTGAAGTTGGTAACAAGTCAGTGACAGAGGGAGTCCACGAGGCGCCAAGGATTGAATGAAAGCCCTGGGCTACGAAGTCTAATATGAGGTGTTGTTGCATACATTCTAAGCTCAAGTGATCTCCTTCGGGCTATATGGAAGCAATTCCTCCCGAGACCCTTAATAGCTGGCCAAACCGGCTGTCCAGTCGCTACTAACTGCGCTCTCTTCTGACCCGTAACTGGGCCATTAGAGTCCAACATTTATGACGCTCTCTTACCAGGCATTATTAGAACTGCCTAGGACTTGCCGTCCCAAATCAATTCAGGGACCACGATGACGAGGCTTCATTGCACCTCATACGATCTTTACGAAATGACACTACAGCATAGATGAATGGAATCTTATATAGGCTATACAGTTGAATTTTAATTTATGCCAGATAGTGCGATGAGCTACCGTGGCACGCTTTTCTAAATATTGATACTGCCTTGTATCCTCTAATCGCTTTTGTATGTAGGCCATGATGCTAACATCGCAGCGCTTCGTTCTACTCGACGCCATATAACCATCCCGCGTCGCCTTCCAGATAGCGGGATTACATTGGGTTATATTTGGGATTAATGTATCTGCCCTGATCGGGGTACTTTTCATTCCTCGTATTGCTAACTAACAACGTCTTGTTGAGGCTCCGACACTGCCTAAACAATGTCTTTCCACGCTGACTGATCCCGTCAAAAGTGTCAAGGTAAAGCCTCCAAAAATTTACAATAGATTCCCTATGATATTCCCCTTGCAAGGCAAAATAAATAATGAATCAAGAGTATCCACCTAATAACCCCCCTGACCCCGAACTGACGAAAAGTCACATCCTTCTGGAAGAGCTCCAGGAAGCCTGCGGCACAACCAGCCTCATTGACATCGACACCAAAGAACAGAAGGAAAAAATGGTTCCTCAAATTCAAACCCAACAACAGATAACCTTCCACCGCTCCAGAAAACCACACGATACCAAGTAGGCCCATCGTCAGGCCGAATCCCCCTTCTAGTAGACAACACCAGAAACCCACCTACCCGGTCATGGAATGCTCCGCTGAACTGCTCTGCCTCGTCTCCAGCGTCGACAAGGATCACTATCTCTGGTTCTCGGATCCAATTGAACAAAGCGAAGCTTATCAATGTTTGGCCTTCTGGCATGCCTTCGGGCAACTGATCCAGGGGCAATATCATATATTTCCTGAGCAACATCAATTATCCTCGTATGTGTATATCCTACTTTGGTTTTAGGCGCGAAGAAGCACTAATATCCTTCCTCTAGATGCGATGAGCCACTTTAAAGGCGAGGTTCTCCGCATTTACCACGGTCTGGAAAGGTATCTATCATAGAAGCGTAATGGTATTGCACGGGAGTACCTCATTGAACCCGGTAAGGGGAAGTATAGCATTGTTGATATCAATGCTTGGGCTTGGATTCGGACGCATCGGTCTATTGGGTCCTCGGAGGGTGAGGTGGCGGCTTTG